GGAGACAAAAGCGGCCGGGTGTGGTGTTGGCCACCCACCCCCTCGCGTGCCGTGCCGGCCTTCATAGGTGTGCTCCTCGCTAACAGCACTTGCCCCTACAGTCTGTTAAGGAGGATCGTTGTCTTTGTGTGTCGATGTTCATGTCCCGTGGTCATCTACGCAGCGTATCCTGCGTGTACGTGAAGCTACGACAGTATGCGTGCTGTGTATGTGCTTCCTGTGTATGTCCTATGTATTGTAGTTGTGCGTCTCTTGTGTATATGTGTGCCCTGCGTGTCTATGTATATCCTGTGTATGTGTCCGTGTCTATCCTGTGAATGCATGTGTCCCGTATGTGCGTTGTGTGTGTTCTGTGTGTATGTGTGTGTCCTGTATTTGTGTATATATGTTGTGTTTCACCCCTTGCAGCCACGAGCTGTAATCACCGCTCGCCACGATGCATTAGCAGGACCTTCATCACCGCTCATTGCAATCAAAGTCCTTAATTACACTCGTAATCACATCGCATCGCACTCTCCGCCACGTCGGGAAAAGTGTCTTTTCTTTAGGTCTGGGTTGTTGTTGTTGTTGCTAATGCGGCCTCTCAGTCCAACTCCTTCACCCGCTGGAGATTTATGCAAATCGTAGATTAGTGATCACGCGGAGACGTCTCGACATAGGTCGAACAGAAATAACTTAAAGGCACGGCGAGAGCCAAAGGCGCATCCCTGCAACCGCTCGCTCACGGCACTGCTGGCAGAAGGAGCCTCCAATCGATGAGTCCCGAGACAATCCTTCCTCGAGGGTAGTTTGGCCTACTCGTCCACGCTACCAGCTAAGACGTCTTTGATGACTTGAATGTGTGCTGAACCTCTTTCGCACCGTACGTGGAGGGGGAGAGCCACACGGGGTGGTGCGACGGGACGGACGCTCGTCCCATTGTGCGCGTCCCCTTATCTCGAGCGAGGCAACTACAATTCAAAACAACGCGGCGTGAATTGACGCGTAAGAGAGAGAGCACGAATCACCCCGCACCGGCACAGAGATCCCATCGTGTAGCTCACACACACGCCACACACACACACACCACACACACCACACACACAAGCCACACGCCACACACATACGCCACACACACACGACACACACACCACACACACACACCACACACGACACACACACCACACACACACCACACACACCACACACACCACACCACACACACACACCACACACACACGCCACACACACACACGACACACACACACACCACACACACCACACACACACGCCACACACGCCACACGCCACACACATACGCCACACACACACGACACACACACCACACACACACCACACACGACACACACACCACACACACGCCACACACACCACACACACCACACCACACACACACCACACACACATACCACACACACACACGCCACACACACACACACGCCACACACACACGCCACACACACACGCCACACACACACGCCACACACACACGACACACACACACACACCACACACACGACACACACACCACACACACACCACACACGCCAGTCTCGGGACTCGTGCTGCTAAGAGAGCGCTCTTTGGACACATCTGTGGCCGGGGCCGACATCACGCCCGGGCCGCCTTTGTCTCTCCAGGGCGAGGCACGTCATTCGGTGACGCTGCGTCGGCATCGGTGCACAAGAGCGATGAACACAAACCTCAACGCATTCGTCAATAACACAAATGTACAATAGGCGACGTTTCGGGCGATGGCCCTTCTGCGAAGCACACGAATGGGATAAGGCGACAGAGCGCGATCACTTCACGCCGCAGCCGCCCTACAGAACAACGACAGGGGGTGGAGGAGGGGACGCTCACAACATCGAGCAGAGCATCGGGCGGTTAAAACGCAGAAAGTCGCACAGAGAGGAGCACCGCTGGTGGTGCAACCCACACACGTCATCTCGGTTCATCTCCAGCACCTTGGTGGTGACAGGAAGGATTATAACATGGTCTGCTCGGTTGTTGTTTTAATAACACCTGCTCCCAGCGAGACTTCGACCCTCCACGTGATGACCGCGACGTGCACCTAGCCTGGCACAAGCGCTGCGGTGATGACGTCGCCGTCACTGAGTGGCGAATGGCGGGCTCTTGGTGGTCGTGGTGGTGATGATGGTGAAACAGGAGGAGGATTTCTCCACAAATCTGGCTGCCGCCTGATGAATTGTAAATGTTGCGGGTTTACTCTCCAACACCGCTGTGCCGTCCTCGTAACGAATTCGCACATTTTGCTAACGCGACAACCCTTATATTTACGCGATATAAACCAAACAAAAATCACCCTTCCCCCCTCGATTATGGATTATATTGGTCGCGAAAGCCTGCTGCTTGACTGCGTGTTGAACTGATCATGATGGTGGTGGTGATGGTGGGAAGAGGAGGCGGTGATCATTGTGCCATCATTGGGTCTTCATTGAATCGGCGTCGACACGTGGCGACGCGTCAGGGCCCCGACGCGCGCGGCCCGAATCGGCGCGTTCGCGTTGAGCCCCCCCATCCCCCCATCCCCCCACCCATCCCCCCATGCCCCCATCCCCCCATCCCCCGCCCCATGCCCCCCCCATCCCCCCACCCCCCACAGTGCGCGTGGCTGACAGCCGCTGCGTGTCGGGTGATTACGGTAGAGAGTGGGCGGGTTGCTGAGCACCACCCCTCCCCCCTTGCTCCCCTCCCCACCCACCCGCCCACACTTCTCCCTCCCCCCCGCCCCCCACTTCTCCCCCCCCCCGCCCCCTCTCCCACGACCTCCCTCCCTCCCTTCTCGCCACTTAACGCTCCCCCCGTGCGATTGATCAACGGGGTTATTTTATTTTAATACAGCGTTGGCGGTGGTGCGCGCAAACACAAATAGCAAGGACGCATTCCTCATTAGCGCATTTCGCAAACTGAACATTATATTTCACAGGCGACGTTTCGGACAACGGTCCTTCATTCCAGCAGTCGAGTTCGAGAGATTCCCTGGGCATTGACGGCCGCCTGTAGCGTCGCTCAACCTCCTCCCCCCTCCTCCTCCTACCTCCCCTCCTCCTCCTCCTCCCCCCCTCCTCCCCTACCCATCCATCCACAACCCCAGCCCACCACCTCTAACGGGATGTGCCAAAACGGATGAGCAATTGCAGATAACAACAACAGCAGCAGTGATGCTAATACCGAGAAGGGGGGGGGGGGAGCTTATGCTGCTGATATTTGATGAGAATGTTACAAACGGACCATCGCGGGTTTGGAAACCGGTTCACAGAAATATTATTGCTCGCACTCATGGAGGAAAAATAAAACATCATCATCATCATTGGCCGTGGTCAGTCCACTGCTGGGTGACCGCATCGCCAAGCCGCCACCACCTCCGACGGATCACACACGATAACGATAACACTCGTAATAAATTACAGCCCTTTGACAAATCCACTGCTGGATGAAGGCCTACATACGCCGGCGTGTCGGCCACAGTTGAGGTTGAGATGGGGGGGAGGGGGGGTGTTTGACCATACTTCACCACGCTGGTCAGTACGGATTGGTGCACAGCTCGTCGTACTCAAAGCACCGTTTAATGTTATGCGCGTTGACCTTCTTTTGCACCGTACGTAGCCAACCGTGCTAATCGGAAGATAACTGGCCAGACATGTCACCCTATGCGAGATAGCAGCAGCAGCAAGACCCTCTCGAATAGGAGGATCTTGGTTGGTGGGTCCGATTATTATCACCACCACCACCACCACCTCTCCAGCCGTTCGAGACGCATCTCACGGATATCAGCGGCCGTCCTGGCGGGAGGAGAAGGGGATTGTTTATTGATTCCGGACTGCGGATTTGAGAGGGGAGGGAGAGGGGAGAGCGACGGAGAGCGAGAGAGGGGGCTGGAGGGAGACAGCGGAGGGGGAGAGAGGAGAGAGAGGGAGAGCAAGCGACATAACGACAGAGAGGGTGGCGGTGGGCTGAGTGAATTGAAGAGAGTGGTTGTGAGAGCGAGGGTTGTTGCAGAGAGATACGGAGAGAGTGAGTGGGTGCTAGATAGGCAGGGAAGAGGTTAGGAGACGCTGAGAAAGAGTGGTCACGGGAGGTAGAGAGAGAGAGCGGTTGTAGTGGTGATTTCGAGAGAATGGTTGAGAGACAGAGGCGAGGATAGAATTGTATAGAGAGGGCGTGAGCGAGAGATAGGTCGGCACATAGTGGTAGGAGAGGTCGCTGCCAGGGTGTGGGCTGGAGTTCCGCCATGCGCGGCTGACCCACGCCGTGCCGGCCTTCAAGGGGCAGTGGGCGCTGGAGGAGGCCGTGTGCTCGGTGGCAGATATGAGCTACCGTCGGAGGCCGTAAGACTTGCGAGGAGGGCTGGGTGCAGATGCAGCACTTGTCGTAGTAAAATAAATATGTACATAGAAAGCAGGGGGAACATAGACATCGAGTAGGGAGAGAGGGGGGTAGAGAGAGAGGGGGGGTAGAGAGAGAGGGGGGGGGTGGAGAGAGGGGGTAGAGAGAAGGGGGTAGAAAGAGGGGGGGCGGGTATAGAGAGGGGGGTGGGGTAGAGAGAGGGGGTAGAGAGAGGGGGAAGGGGTAAAAAGGAGAAGAGCAGAGCGTGAAATATTTCGTGAAATTTTTCATTTAAACAGGGGGGGGGGGGTGGAGGCATATAAAGCAAGGCATTGGAAAAACAAAACGAAATGATGAACGAAGCAAAGTGCCGACTACACCGAGCATATTCTTGTTTCCTCTGATCGTAAAAAAAATAAAGAGAGAGAAGTAAGCACACAGTGGTAGGGAGAGAGGTAAGCACACAGTGGTAGGGGAGAGGGGGGGGGGTGAAAGGGCCGTAGGGAAGGGGTGAGAGAGAGTATCAGAGAGAGGGGAGGGAGAGAGAGAGGGGAGGGAGAGAGAGGGGAGGGGGAGGGAGAGAGAGGGGATGGAGAGAGAGGGGAGGGAGAGAGGGGAGGGGGAGAGAGGGAGAGTATCAGAGAGAGAGAGGCAAGGTCGGGGAGAGGCAGGCAGCAAGGAGGAGCAGGAGGGAGAGGGACGCGTTCTGAATCCCGACGATCTCCGCCCGCGCTCGCCACGGCCGCTGCCGCCGCCGCCACCAAAAACAAACTCGGGGAGTGAATTTCTCCTCTCGCTCCCGTGAGCCGCAGCGAGCCGGGAGCCAAGGAGGCCATGTCGGTGGCTCGCCACTCGGGGCTGCCCTCCGGGGGCAGGCAGGCTCAGAGCCGCGCCGGAGATCGGACATCGTCAGGAGCAGCAGCAGCGGCGGCGGCGGCGTCATCGTCGGCAGCATCGGCGGCTGCTGCGTCGGGTGAGTGATGCCCTCGGGCTCTCCGATGGTGTCGGCGTCGTGAGTCGAGCGGCGGAGAGAGCGTGACGGTGGCTATGGTTACAGCACGGATGAAGGGTGTGGGGAGGGAGGTCGGCTGGCTGGCTGGGTGGGTGCTGACGGCATCCACAGGGGCAGCACTGCGTGAGGATCGTGCCGCTGGCTGGCGGTGCTGCTGCTGGTGGCTCAGGGTGGGTTCGCACCTGCAGCCACAGCCGGGCATGGTGAATAGCAGCGACAGCCCCATCATGGACACCGCGACATCAACAACGATAGCTACACACAGCATGGAGGCAGCAGCATTACGTCTAGCGAGATAGAGAATACAGCAACAGCACCTACAGCTACACGCAGCATGGCTGCAACAACATCGTGTATAGCTACACACAGCATGGGTACAGCAATAGCGACATCACCAACACATACACACAGCATGGGTACAGCAATAGCGACATCACCTACAGCTACACACAGCATGGGTACAGCAATAGCGACACCACCAACACATACACACAGCATGGGTACAGCAATAGCGACATCACCAACACAGTAACATCACCTGCAGCTACACACAGCATGGGTACAGCAATAGCGACATCACATACAGCTACACACAGCATGGGTACAGCAATAGCGACATCACCTACAGCTAAACACAGCATGGGTACAGCAATAGCTACATCACATACAGCTACACACAGCATGGGTACAGCAATAGCTACATCGCCAATACAGCTACACACAGCATGAGTACAGCAATAGCTACATCACATACAGCTACACACAGCATGGGTACAGCAATAGCTACATCACCTATAGCTATACACAGCATGGGTACAGCAATAGCGACATCACCTGCAGCTACACACAGCATGGATACAGCAATAGCTACATCACATACAGCTACACACAGCATGGATACAGCAATAGCTAGATCGCCAATACAGCAATTCACCTATAGCTACACACATCATGGATACATGACATACAGCTACCAACAGCATCGATACAGCAATAGCGCGTGCAGATACCGAGATGCAGAAACGCTGAGTGGCCACAGGTACCGACACAGACACAGCTCGGGATATACAGCATTGCGGAGACACAGCACGCGGTGGCTGATATACAGCAGCTACGGCGTTGCTGGCTAACGTCGCCAGACGGACGCTATCGATTCAAACGCAGGCAGCTACAGCAGCTACAGCTGCCCGCACACCCTCAGCACGCTACAGCCACGGCACGTTGGTACAGCAACTACACCTGGCGGTAGCACAACACAGATACAGTCCACCGTGTCACGCTCCATCTGCAGTAAGCTACAGCTGCACCACCATACAAGAGACATAGTTCACCCGTATAGCCTTTCGCATACTCTTGGGCGAGCGCTGTCAGCGAGCACCTAATCCTATTAATCCCGCAACGGCACGCGAGAGGGTGGCGTGGCCGGAACCCCCAGTGCTGACGTTTACACACAGCAGCGGGTGCTGTACTCAGTTACGGCTGAGTCGACCTAGGGGAGCCACGGACGCCGGTTGTGTGAGCGGGAATCTAAAAAATGCAGCAGCACCACGCACATCCAAGCCACGTTATGGTCACGGCTGCAGAGTGACATGAGTCTGTTCGAGACCGCCACAGCACGGTGCAGTGTGGTACGGCTGCTGCCAATAGACACACGACTGCCAGAGCTACGCACAGCGATCTGCATACAGGATGCAGCTGCAACTTGGTAGAGCTGCAGACAGCTTGATGCAGCTGTACAGATACGCGGAGTACAACAGCATCGCCACCTGCGGCGAGATGACAAAGCCTCGCAAGCATGGGGCAGAGAGGGTCGTGTACAATGGGAGTCACGTGTGTGTGTACATAGGTTCCTGTGTATACAGGTGGGTGTGTACAGCTGTCAATGTATTGGTACGTATAGGCATGTATCGGTATGCATAGGTGGTTTGTGTGTGATTGTATGTGCAGCGGTTAGCGCGCTGCGCTACTAAGCTGACGACACCTGTGACGATTATCTGAATCGGTCCGGGGCCTCTTTTAGGTCGACTCAGCCTCAAATGAGGACCTGGTCCAGTGTGCAATCATCGCCACTGGGGAGACAAAGGCGACCGGGCGTGGTGCTGGCCACCCACCCCCTCGTGTGCCGTGCCGGCCTTCATAGGTGCTACTCGCTAACAGCACTTGCCCCAACAATGTGTCCGCTGGCTACACGGGGAAATGTTGCCATTGTGGGGTTGTTAAGCCACGCGTCCCCACGCTGGTCTGTGCGGGTTGGTGAAGGGGGTGGGGTCAGGATCAATTCAGCACTCGTGGCCTGGGATTGAACTCAGGTCGCCGGTTTCATAACGCATGCCCACATGCAGTTCCCCATACACAGGGTGGCCCAATAAGTCGGGACACGTGCTGTTATTATATTAAACAAATCACATTTGGTGGTGGTGTTGGTCATGATGATGATGATGACAAGCTGCCCCGTTTCCGACCGTTGGAGGAAAGTGACGTGAGCGAGACGCACCGAGGAGGGCCGGCACGGTGCACACAGAGGGGTGCTGGGGCCAGCAGCATCACGCCCGGCCGTCTTTGTCTCCCCAGTGCCGAAGTTTACACACCGCACCAGGTCCTCATCATCTCAACCGTACTAACAACAGCAACAACAACGCTTGTTCACCCAGGGAGAAGCCTCGTCGAGTCTCATGACTCTCTTTCAGGAGAGTCCTGCCACGTGTTGGTTGCCGCGTGCGATTCCAAACGAGCCGCGTGCGGGTAACTTTTCACATTCGACAAAAAAAATGTTGGACCCTCCCTCCGGCACACAATGGCCTAGCTCTTGCCAACGACATCACGGGATCTTTAACGTGCGCATGTCAAGCAAAGGACACGTGGTCTCGTCGCGGTTCGGTACCACACCCCCGCAGTAATAACCCGGACGGCCGCGGAGATCGAACCGTGAACCTCTCCAACAGGCGTCGAACGCGCCGCCGCTGATGCTCTGACGCCGCCCCCCGCCAAAGGCTGAGCCGAGCCAGGCGGAGCCACTCGAATTGACAAAGAGACAAAGGTCACCCGAGATACAGTCCTCTGCACGCTGTCGGGGCGCAAGTGCCGTTAGCGAGCGCTCATAAAAGGCTGACGCATGCGCAGCGACTTGCGTACACATTGACACGCACGCGAGAAGACAGCAGGTCACGAGCACGCCTGGTGACAAATCCTGAGCACCCCCCCCTCCTCCGTCCTTATCTGCCCCTCCAACACAGGTGTGCTGGCTTAGGTAGACGCCTCCGTCTGTGTGTGTGTGTGTGTGCCTAATAGAGGCAGCGGTTGTGCAAAGCCTGCGCCATGGACGCTCACGGGCGCGTGCGTGCCGAATTCAAACTCGCGAACCTTCTGTGGCTGTCGCACCCAAGTGCGTGACGCCGTGAGCACCGTCACGATCACCAAGCCATGGGCAGTGCGTGTCCGCCCAGGTGGCTTCAGGGGCAGAGCGAGCGAGCGGCTCGCGCTCTCGGAAGGTGTCGAGTCATAAATCTCGTCTGCTGGCCATTGACTCACGCCCTTCATCCTTCCGGGGCCAGGGGTGTGGGTCGATAAAATGAGTACCATTTTGCGGAGGAAAGTTCCAAGCGTTGTCGCCCCGTGGAGTCGAAGTGATTTTCTGCTCAAGTGATCATTGCAGGCAGTGCGCTTTCCCCGTGCGTACAGCCCCGGGCCGCTGGTGGCAATTCCTCGTGACGGGCGCGAGTCGATGCATTCCCGCTGGGTGATTCCACCCACGGGACAGGTTAAGGGTCACCGACAGGTGGGATGGGATGTGGCGTGCGCAAACAATTCATGGAAACATCGTTCCAGGCTGTCCCGGCTGAAACGGAGCACGCTGGGGGGATGTGCGTGGTGAATCGGGGCGAGACGGTACACGACCGCTCCCCACACACTCAACAACAACACACACATAACAACATCAACACACACACACACAACAACATCAACACACACACAACAACACACACACACAACAACACACACAGCAACAACACACACAACAACAACACACACATACAACAACATCAACACACACACACGCTCAATAACACACGCAACAACATCAATACACATTCAACACCACACACACTCGACACCACACACTCGACACCACACACACTCAACAACAACAACACACACTCAACAACCGACACACACTCAACAACACACACTCAACAAACCACACACAACAACATCAACACACACAACAACATCAACACACACGCATTCAACAACCCACGCACAGGCGATGTCAGCCTGGCATACTCGTCTGCAGAGTCTGATGAGTTCTAATGAAATTAAACAAGTCCCTAGTGCCTGTGGACTTTGTCTCGGTGATGCGTCGTGAGTCTCCCGAGTGCGAAGCTTTGTAAGCGCCCCCCATCCCCCGTAAAATTTTTCGGAGCTCAACCACGGACAGCTCCGGCTGCTTGAAACGATTCCCCGAGCGTCACGGAGCCGTGCAGGTGACGGGGATCATCGCACACGGAGCGCTGCTGCGACACCCGCGGTCCCAGGTCCGAGTGCGATCCCGGCCCACGACGTCTCGACCACGTCTGCGACGCGCGCCCCTCGCTCCTTGAGTCTCTCAGGGAGGGCTGGAAGGGAGAGGGGGGTGTGGGGTGGGGGGGATTTACTCGGGTGGGGGTTGGGGGGGTTGGATGTGCATGCAATGCCGCATGGAACATTGCACTTGGCTACCCCCGGTCCCGTATTCATTTCCTGTGGTATTTACTGTAATCTGCAGTCGCGCTGCACTGCGCTTCTGTCGGGAGCTCGTACCGAGAGCCGATTATTCTATTTGAATAAACCAATAGAGTGGCGGGCAGAAGAGAGACCCCGGGGAGAGTTGGGGGGAGGCTGCGTGCATGCACACGTGTGGACGACGTGCACACAAAGACAAAGATCCCCCGTATAGCCTTAACAGACTGGTGGGGCAAGTGCTG